AAGACAAAGCTCATTGAGCACCTGGGAGGGGGGGGGGGGGGGGCAGCCTCAGACAATGCACAACAAGAAGAGGTCTTGGAGAAGGAACCGATCAAAGACAAAGGAAAAGAGGTGGAGAAGACACCCGAGCTTGAAAAGCCATACATTCCACCACCACCTTACCAGCCCAAGATACCATTCCCAGGGCGTTTCAAGAAGAAAATCCTAGACAAGGCCAAGGCGGTCTTTGAGAAACACTTGGAGAACACGCAACTGACTTTACCCATCATAGACGCTTTCTTAGCTATACCACAGCTTGGAAAGTTTCTAAAGGATGCGATTCTCAACAAGACAAAGGAGCTCCAGGGTATGGTAATATTGAGTCACGAGTGCAGCGCTATAATTCAGAGGAAATCTATACCAAGAAAGCTATCCGATCCGGGCAGCTTTACTTTGTCGTGTGCATTAGGTCACTTGAAGTTCTCAAACTGCTTATGTGATTTAGAAGCTTCTGTGAGCTTAATGCCTTACACGGTGGCTAAGAGACTGGGATTCAAAAGCAACAAGCCGGCCAAGAACTCCCTGGTATTAGCTGATAGATCGGTTAGACTACCGGTGGGATTACTTGAGCATCTACCTTTGAGAATCGGTGAAATAGAGATCCCCACGGACTTCATAGTTCTTGAGATGGACGAGGAACCTCTAGACCCCATTATCTTAGGGCGACCGTTCTTAGAAACAGCAGGAGCGATCATCGACGTGAGAGGGGGTATGATCGAGCTACACATCGGTTCTGAAACTATGAAGTTCAACGTGAAGGAAATGATGAAGAAACCGACCATTGGAGGTCAGGTTTTCTATGTGGAGGCTATAGAGGAGCTAGCTGATGAGCTCCTAGAAGATTTGAACTCAGAAGACCCATTACAAGTGGTCTTAACAAGGGAACAAAGCGAGCTCGGGTATTTGAACCAGGAAAGCGAGGTGTACAAGCGTCTCTTGGACCAACCGAAGGAACTTGGAGCTGAGACGAGGTTTCTGGAGCTCAGGAAGAGTGGCCTCGACATTTTAGACATCGGGGAGTCCAAGAGCGTTGAGGAGACACCTCGGTATATCATGGCTGCGACAGCTTGTGCCGAGGTCGATGGTAAGCCGCGCGAGAAAGAAAAGACCGAGGAAGCTGCTCCGGGCCAATGCAGCTTTGATGCCGATTGGAATGAGGCTGATGCACCCCCTGTTGAGCTCAAGCCTCTACCAACAGGGCTCAGGTACGCTTTCTTGGGTTTAAACTCCACATATCCCGTGATCATTAACGATAGCTTGCGTGAACATGAAGAGAGTGCATTGCTTAGTGAGATAAGAAAGTTCAGGAGAGCCATATGATATTCTTTGGCTGATATTAGAGGGATCTATCCTGACATATGCACCCACAGTATACACCTAGAGGACCAAGCTATGTCCTCTATTGAGCATCAACGACGTCTTAACCCGAACCTAAAAGAGGTGGTTAAGAAGGAGATACTCAAGCTCCTTGAGGCAGGGATAATTTACCCAATCAGTGACTCAAGGTGGGTATCTCCTGTTAACGTTGTGCCCAAGAAAGGTGGGATCACGGTGGTTAAAAACGAAAAAGATGAGCTTATAGCCCAAAGAACCATAACTGGTCATCGTATGTGCATAGACTATAGAAAACTGAATTCTGCTTCTAGAAAAGATCATTTTCCTTTGCCATTCATTGATCAAATGCTTGAGAGGCTAGCTAATCATCCTTATTTTTTTTTTCTTGATGGGTACTCGGGTTTCTTTCAAATCCCTATAGATCCCCGAGATCAAGAGAAAACAACATTTACTTGCCCTTATGGAACTTATGCTTATAGGAGAATGCCTTTCGGTCTTTGTAATGCACCGACCACTTTTCAAAGATGCATGATGCATATTTTCTCTGATCTAATTGAAGAGAAAGTGGAGGTGTTTATGGATATGATTTTTCCGTATACGGCTCCTCTTTCTCCGATTGTCTTGCTAATCTATCTCAGGTTATAAAGCGATGTGAGGAACACAGGCTCATCTTGAACTGGGAGAAATGCCATTTCATGGTCCAAGAAGGGATTGTCTTGGGACACAAGGTATCAGAGAAGGGCATAGAGGTGGACAAGGCTAAGATCGAGGTTATGGTGAACCTACAAGCTCCGAACTCAGTAAAAGGAATAAGAAGTTTCCTTGGTCACGCAGGGTTCTACAGAAGATTTATCAAAGATTTCTCCAAAATAGGTCGACCCTTGACGAGGCTATTGTGTAAAGAGGTGGAGTTTATCTTTGATAATGAATGTGAAGAAGCGTTTAAGAGAATCAAGGAAGCGTTGATCAGTGCACCGGTTGTACAAGCCCCTGATTGGTCATTACCATTCGAAGTGATGACGGATGCATCTGATTATGCCGTGGGGGCTGTTTTAGGGCAAAAGAAAGACAAGAAGCTTCACGTGATCTATTACGCAAGCTGCACCTTGGATTCAGCTCAAGAAAAATATGCCACGACTAAAAAGGAAATGCTCGCCATTGTGTTTGCATTTGATAAATTCAGGAGATATTTAGTGGGATCAAAGGTCACGGTCTACACAGATCACGCGGCTTTGAGGTATTTGATGACCAAGAAGGATGCTAAGCCGAGGCTTCTAAGATGTGTTTTGTTACTTCAAGAGTTCGATATGGAGGTGCTTGATAAAAAGGGTATAGAGAATGGAGCTGCCGACCATCTCTCAAGGCTGAGAATTGAAGAACAAGTCCCTATAGACGATGCCTTACCCGAAGAACAACTCATGCTGGTCCGGTCTTACTTAGAAGTGGAGGAAGCCAACACGATCAAAGAGAGAAGCCTTCCATGGTTCGCAGACCTGGTGAACTACTATTCATGCGGTCTAGAGCCACCGGATCTTGATACTTATCAGAGGAAGAAGTTCTTTAGAGATGTGATGAGATACCATTGGGATGAGCCGTATCTATACGTGCTTAACAAAGACCATCTCTATAGACGATGCTTGGCCGAGGAGGAGACTTATCCAGTGCTACAAGAATGCCACGGCTCGACGTATGGTGGTCACTTAGGTCATTCAAGACGGTCGCCAAGGTTTTACAAAGCGGTTTCTGGTGGCCGACCATGTTCAAAGACTCTCAAGATGTAGTCTCACGGTGTGAAGCTTGTCAAAGGCACGGTAACATATCCAAGAGGAATGAAATGCCTCAAAACCCGATTTTTGAAGTAGAGGTCTTCGACTGTTGGGGCATTGACTTCATGGGTCCCTTTGTAAGCTCATATGGGAATCAGTATATACTTGTCGCAGTGGACTATGTGAGCAAGTGGGTTGAAGCGGTTGCATCCCCAAGTAATGATTCAAAGGCTGTGGTAAAACTCTTCAAGAGCATCATTTTCCCAAGATTCGGAGTCCCAAGGGTAGTTATAAGCGATGGAGGAAGCCACTTTATCAATAAGACACTTAAGAGTCTTTTGAAGAAGCACGGAGTAAAGCACAAGGTGGCCAGCCCTTATCATCCTCAAACAAGCGGCCAAGTGGAGGTCTCAAACCGCCAGATCAAGGCCATTTTGGAGAGAACCGTGAGCGCATCTTGGAAGGGTTGGAGCAAGAAACTAGATGATGCTTTGTGGGCTTACAGAACCGCATACAAAACCCCATTGGAACCTCACCATTTAACTTGCTCTATAGGAAATGCTGTCACTTACCAGTTGAGTTGGAGTACAAAGCCTTGTGGGCAGTGAAGCTTTTGAACTTTGATATCATGACAGCTCAAGAAAAGTGAGTCTTACAGCTTCATGAGCTTGAGGAGATCCGTTTAGACGCTTTTGAGAGCTCCAAAATCTACAAAGAAAGGACAAATGCGCTCCATGACAAGAAGATACACAAGAGAGAGTTCAAAGAAGGGGATCAAGTTCTGTTGTTCAACTCAAGACTTAAGTTGTTCCCTGGAAAGCTAAGGTCTAGGTGATCCGGACCGTTTACTGTTCTTGAAGTGAGACCCTATGGAGCCGTGGTTTTAAAAGGAAAAGATGGACAAGGCTTTGTGGTAAACGGTCAGAGGGTAAAGCACTACTTGGCATCAGAAACAAGAGAGGGAGCTACCTCAGTTCCTCTTCTTGAACCCGAAACTGCCTGAAAAGGTAAGTAAAGTCAAACTTAGAGACGTTAAACAAAGTGCTCTTGGGAGACACCCCAAGCTTATCCTTGTAAATACTTTATTTTTCATCTTCCTTTTTCTTTTACTTGAAGCTTTTTGAAGGGTTTGTTAAGTGTTTTCAGGTGTTAGATGGTGAGTCCTGTGATTAAAGAAAAGAGAAGCTTGAGAAGAAACGGCCTGATGACTTAAGAACAGGAGTACTCGTAGCCTCGGTATCGACTCTCGGTATATTCATACCGCTGTCACCTTTTACCGAGTGTAAGCCTGAGAACCTCGGCTAAACTCCTCGCCTTATTTACATCATGGCCGTGTATTGGAAAGGAGAACGTGAAATGACTAAGTGTGGGGGAGGTCCACGGTGTAAACACCTCGATAAAATTTCACCGAGGAGCAATGTTCGCATGAAACAGTTAAAAACCTCGACTTGAGGTCGCGACCAGTTTACACCAAGGCCAACTCGTCAAAACCCCCAAGCACCAAGTGTTATGTGTTCAAACAAGTGCCCTCGGCATGATGCCCTCGTGGTGGAGCATGCCGAGATGCCGATCATAAGAAAGAACAAAAACAAGAACACTTGGGACACTTAGTCTGAGAAAGAAGGTTTGCGCGGTCTATGGAAAAGACTTGAGGGCCACGAAAATTTACTCGTTAGCGTGAGCTCAAATCCCTCGGCTTGGTACCCTCGTGGTGGGATAAGTCGAGGCCGCTCATGTTTACACGAGAAAAATCGGTTTAGACCGTACTGCCCACGTCATTCCCATACTGCGGTCATTTGGAGGCTTTGCGCGGCATTTTGAATTCAAACGCTCGGTCAAGGCGATTTTTGGCGCGGTCAACGGCTGGAGCTGGAACAGAAGGGGTGACCAGTCCCACAACAGTCCAAATGCTAGCTGGAAAGCGCGCTCCAGCCCATACCTGCCTCCATACCGAGCCAAAATGCAGAGTTTGCTTTCTTCATCCTTTTCTCTGCATTTCGCGAACACATCTTTCTCATTTCTCATCAGTTTCACGCGATTCCAAGGGTTCTAGACTCGTTAGGGTGTTGTCTATTCTGCATAAGCATTTCACTGAGCTTGAATCTTGGATTCCCAAAGGTACTTGCATGTTAAAGAACTCATCTTTTTCCATCATTCTTTGCGAGCATTATTGTTTGTAAAATGAGGAATCGATTCTTTTAAACCGTTTCAGCCTTTGGGAACAATTTTAGAAATTCCATCAGGATAGACAACACATGAAAAACTGGTCCTTGCACTGAAAATCGTTTGTTCTTGAGGTTTTAAAATTCACGAGAAAATGCACTTGGAATCGGCTTTAATGGTGAACTGAGTTTCTGAGCCGAACTGTCTAGATAACTTTCCTTCCACCGGTTATATTGGCTTACTTGTTAATCACTTTGATGTTTGAGAAGCTATTAAACCGGTCTTGTTAAAGAGAAAGCTCTGTCCTTGCTATTCTCTAGTATTTATGCTTAGCGATATACTCGGTTATCATGTTTTCTTTGAGAGTCTCTTTCGCAGATGACCAAGGAACAGACCATTCCGGCTCACCAGACAAGCAAGAACGAAGAGGAAGGCCAGCAAAGGGAAAGCTGTCGCCTTGGCACGAGGTGGGGGAACAAGCAAGAAAACCTCCGTAAGACCTGAAGGTGAACCATCTGCGAAGCGCGCAAGGAACGCCGAGCTTGCTCTTACACCAGCACCAGAACCACGGAGGACTGGTTACCAACTCTGATGAGGACGAGAATAGAGCTCTGGTACCACGAGAGGCCAACTCTGGCAAGAAGCCAAAGAAAGAACCGAAGGCCGAGCCCGAGGGAGAGCATTTCCCAACCACTGAGGAATACTTGGACCATTTTAACTCTGTGAGAGTAGCTCAAGGTCGGTTCCCTGATATGGAGTTGTTGAGGAAGCTTGAGATACTCGATGATGTTACCCTCATCTTTCAAAACATGGGTTTGGCCGAGTTCTTTGAGCTGAGCGACGTTGCATATGAAGGGATCACACAACAGTTTCTTGCCACTTTGGAGGTGATCATATACCCCAAGAGAGATCCCAAGCGCTTACATGGGAAAGTATTCGACCATATAGAGTTTGACATGGATGGCGTGCACTACAGGATCAGTTTCAAGGAGCTCAATGAGATATTCGGTTTTGTGAGGAACAGGAGCTCCCTTGATAAGTTTGTGTACCCGAAGGAGGAGTTAGCTGCTTTGTGGGAAACCATTGCTTTTGGACCTTACTTGGGAGGCAATAGCAAGACGAGCTGCATCAGGAACCCCGCGATCAGATACACTAACCGAGTCTTAGCCTCCATGTTCTTCTCAACCTATAATCCTGGAGTTATTCACTTGGCCGAGCTTGAAATGTTGGGACTTGGTCTGAAGCCGCTCATCACGCAGATGAAGAACAAAAAGGAGTTCCAAGGGCCAATCCATGTACCTTCTTTAGGCGCGTTCTTTGGGATTCAAATGCTCACCTACCGTCATAATGTGTGGTGTGACCGGAAGAATAAAGGCACAAGGAGGCTCCAAAACGGTTGGATTGTGACTAAGATCTTGAGAGCTAAAGGGTTTGTATTCCCTGATTCACCGTCAAAGCCAAACCTCATTGATGAGCAATACTTAAGCAAAAGCGGTTTCTTCGGAGGGAACAAGTGGGTTTACAATTTCACACTGATGCACAGAGATGGAACGCAGGTTCTCTTGCCTAACCGAGCCCTCGCCATGCTAGATAAGCAATGTAATGTCTCTTTCTACGTCCTCAAGGATCAGCTGTACAACCCGTTTCTCGATCCGCCAATGCGCAAGTGCACCAAGGTGAACCAGGCCGCGACTAGTAGACTTCTGAACGAGAATGGCACGGCCGGTTGAGAGAATTAGGAACCAAGACACTCTGAGAGAAGAATAGGGGCTGGCCAATAACATTTTGATCCATACGTGTGGGGAGAACCTGAATACCACACCAAGAAGCTGTACTCGAGAGTCAACACCCTCCAAAAGTGTTGTAAGTGGCAAGACAAGACCATTCATGCGTTGGTGGACTGTGTAAGGCACCTGAAGAAGAAAGTCAAGTGACTCACCGCACCATCTTCACCTGACAAGAACTCGGCGACCTCAACAGCACCGGCTGCACAAAAGGAGGTTGGAGAAAGCTCGAACGCGAGGAACCCGGAGTTTCCACCAGGAAAGAGGACTGGATCGATCCTGCCACGGCATTCCTGCCTGAACCCTCTGAAAGCAGCCCACCACGTCATTCCACACCCTCCTGCTCAACATCGAATCCCTCGCACTACTTGGGATCAGACCTCTCCGACTGAGGTATCGACTTCAAACCATTGTAAATATGCATCGTGTATATATCATATTGCATTTGTCTAGTTTTTCCTTTTTATTTCTCTCACACTCTTTTATAACACAAGGGACTGTGTTATTTAAGTGTGGGGGAGGAGCTTTGTGTTTTCTGATCTTGTTTTCTTTGTTCTTATTTGACTTTTTGCATTCTTGAGTCTCATCTAGCTTAGTGCATATGAAAAACCTGAAAATTTTCACAAAAAATGCTCATTCTAGCTGCATCTCGCATTTTAAGATCGAGTCTAGTTGCATCATGTAGGATTGCATCAATGCAAGGAGCAATGATAGGTTTTTTCCTGGAGAGTAAATCGCTTGAGAACTTGAACTAAATATGCTTGTAAAACTCATTCTGTGCTTGCAAAGTCCGAAACGATTTGAATCTGAGAAGCAAGTTTGAATTGAACTCAACTCTGATTAAGTGGGAACCCTGAATTTGACATCTAATTATCATGTTTGTGCATATCATTGTAAATTCATGGTTACCACATACATATTTGAGCTTTCTTATCCCTATTTATCACCCTCGCTAGCTCAAATAGCTGATCTCTCACCTTGAGACAGTTCCATGCCTTTAGCCTAACCTTTCTTTGAAGCCTAAACACCCTTCTTGTGTGCATAATTTGTGAGGCCTTGTTTCTAGTAGACTTGGTAAAAGTGTTGGGTTTAGAGCGACAAAGATGGCGCTGCATGTAGACACTGGTCCATCATCAAGGGCAAGTCTAGGCTAGGGTGAAAGTGAGAGCATCGGTTTTGAGAGAGCGAGCTGAAAAGAAAAGAATTCGAGTGATGAAAGTGGAAAGAACCGGATTGGATAGGGGAATGAATGCTAAAATGAAAGAAAGCGAGTCTATGAAGAAAAGCTCATGTGTGAAAAAAAAAAAAGCCTCATGAAAAGGAAAGAAAAGATTCAAAAGAGGCGTGTCTTAAGAAGAGCTTGTGTGTAAAGAAAAGAAACTCGCTAAGTTGTTAAAGGAAGCATTCCCCCTATGAGATGAAATGAGGAGAGTAACGAGAGGTCATTGAGCGTCAAAGGGAAAAATGCCATTTGGGGGTGAGTAGACTAGAGAGAGAGTATTGTGAGGATCAATGCCGAGAGTGAAGAGCATTTTGGGTATAGGGTAGATGCAGTTCTATCTTTGTATGCATCCATTGCTTTTTACCCTTAGCATTTTACTAAAGTCTACTAATTTTTGAGTGATCCCCTTGCATGGAGTACCAGTTACTTGATTGAGATCATTTTCATCTCAAAACCCAGTCCTAAGCCGAATGAATTCATCTTGATTTGCATGAACATGATCCACCGCGGTCGCGGCGGTTGTGACCGCGGGAAATGCTCTGTTGGCCGCGGGTGGAAACGCTTGCCGGCTGGTTTACGTGACATCTTGCTCTTCGCGTATCTTTTGATTGAACCGTTGGATTGCCAAGCTGTAAAGTGTGCTGGAAAGCTGATACTTCCATCTTTAAGATCTCCAAATTTGAGCTGGATCAGACGGTGAGAAGGCCTTCAATCAGGGGTGAACTTCTGACGGTTTGACTCTGAGCTGAAATCTGGTTTTCTATCCATGTTGTTAAGTTTTTCCCTAAGTTAGCTGAAAAGAGTCTTGGAACTACAAATACTAGAAAAACGTAATAAAAGTACTTCAAAGAAATTAAAAACATAGAAAAATTATTTAAAAATTATCCATAAAAATGGTCAAAATACGGTGTTATCAACTCCCCCAGATTTAAACCTTTGTTTGTCCTCAAACAAAGCAAAAGCCTAAACTGGTTAAGTGAAAACAAAAATAGGGAATGCACAAATCTCAGAGACATGAACTCCTAAACTAGGACCAAAGATCGTGCATCTATCCACAACTTAGTCTAGAAAATTCTCACCAATGAACAAAAGATACTAGTCCACTTTTTCCATCATGCAAAACTTAAACAATCTAAATCTTGATTCCTGTCAACTAGCTCTCTACATTCGTTAAGTTCAATAGTGAGTTCTCATTAAGGACATCATCCAGGGTAGACGGCGTTTGGCATTAAAGGGCTGTTTAAGTGGTGGAGTTAAAGTGTTTTGGGTTACCTGATGAATCTGGAGGATGCAAGATAATATGCAAAACTGCAAGAGAGATAAGGACCTGTTGATGACTGCAATTTTCAGTCACTTCTTCTTGCTAAATGTTGTTGCATAATCCTTCCTCCTTTGTTGTAAACAGCTATTCCCCCAGACTTAGATTCTTTCCAGGAATCAGAAAATGATCTCCAAAACTCCATAAAATTGTAATCCAGTTGCCTTAGGAGTTAAAATTCGATCTCTCTAGATTCTCTAAGGCTTTAATTTACTTTCTTTTCTTATTTTCGATTTTTTTTTTTTTTTTTTTTGAAAAGGAAATGCCTTTTAAAGAGAGAGAGAGACTAGAGGACGAGATTGTACCAAAATTTGAGATTCTTCTAAGGCAAACTGAGCTTCCTCTTGTGTTGAATCCTTCCGGGAACTTTTCCGGCAAATCGCAGGTCTCTGTCCTTGGTGACTGAAAACTGCGTCGTTCCTCTTTCTCTCCAACGTTTTTGCACTTATCTGCATATAAGACAATAGAAAACAAGAGTGCATGTGGTTTGAAAGAGGATTGGTTAAGGTGGGGAACTAGCTAAAGATGAACTAGCCATTCAGGATCAACAGAGAGTGGTAAAAGGATAAAGGAGTCCTGAATGTATGATTCGTTTCCCTGGTCTAATGCTTCAATGATAAAGTTAAGTCCAAATTAAGTCCAAATAAAACAGAGCTAGTGTATCCCTTCATCTAAATCGAAATCAAATTCCTCTGGGGTACTTCGTTTCAAATGTGCTTAGCTACCACCTAGTCTAGTCCTAAATCATGAATGAGCATGTCACTAGGAATAGTCTAAAAGCACACAGTCAACTATCATTGATTCATGTTCACCATTCCCTTTTAAAACGTATTTTGTTTTGAAAACCGGTTTTGGAAAAACTTTAAGGAAAATACAAAAAGTATAGATAATGCAATACTCATGAAAGAAAAGTGGTTAGAAAGGGATGAAATCCTCCCCCAGACTTAAATCACACTGTCCTCAGTGTGAAACAAGTCGAGATTGGATGAAAAAGAATGCATAGATAATCGAATTGGTAAGGCCAAAGAGAACTTACCTGGATCCGGGATGCTGGTGGAGGTGAACCGGATTCGTTCGAAGAGGTTTTGGGAAGGTGATAGGTGGTGATGAAGGTGGTGGACGGTGATGAATGAGGTGGAGTGGGGGTTGGTGAGGTGGAATGAGGTGAAGTGGGTGGTTT